TCCGATCTTTGTCCTTCTTTATGGAGACTTTCAGACTAGTGTGTCTTGAGAATAGTACTTCACCATGGCCGAGATGTGTGTGTGTGTGTCTGTCTGTCTGTCTGTGTGTATGTCTGTCTGTGTGTCTGTCTGTCTCTGTGTGTGTCTGTGTGTATATGTGTGTATATGTGTGTCTGTCTGTCTGTCTGTCTGTGTGTGTGTGTGTGTGTGTCTGTATGTCTGTGTGTCTGTCTGTGTGTGTGTGTGTGTGTCTGTGTGTCTGGGTGTGTGTGTGTCTGTCTGTGTGACTGTGTGCATGTCTGTGTCTGTGTGTCTGTCTGAGTGTGTGCACTTATGTTTAAGGAAAATAAAACCTAGTGCCGAGCAGTGGTGGTGCACGCCTTTAATCCCAGCACTCGGGAGGCAGAGGCAGGCGGATCTCTGTGAGTTCGAGGCCAGGCTGTACCGACAGCCTCCAAAACAATACAGAGAAACCCTGTCTCGAAAAACCAAAAAAAAAAAAAGAAAGAAAAGAAAACCTAGAGCTTCATACATGCCAAACACATGTTTTACCACTAAACTATATTCCCAGTCATGGAGTTGAAATATTGAATCAGCTAAAAATGAGCTATATGTAAAAATATTTAACCTGACACCTGGTATATGTAAATGAACATATTTGTTAAAATGCTCACGAATTTTGAGGCAAAGGTCTAGAGAGATGACTCAGTCATTAAAGTACCTTCCATACAAACATGAGGACCTGACTTTGGGTACACACACTCAGAAAAACCAGGCACAGTGCTACACATCTGTAGCCCTAGGATTGGTGGTTGGAAACAGTATCCCTAGAGGTTACTAGAAAACCAGTCAAGTCAATTCATAAGCTCAGGTTCAGTGACAGGCCCTGTCTGAAATAGTTGAGAGGATGTCTGGCATTGACCTCTTGCTTCCACAGACGCTACACACACACACACACACACACACACACACACACACACACACACAATTTATATATGAGCCAGATGCAATAGTGAACACCGGTAGTCCAAACTCTTGGGAGGCTGAAGGGGGAGAATCATTTGGGTCTAAGATTTGAGAGTATCCTCAGCACCACGAGGAAACCTTTGTCAGCTCAAAATTTAAGTAGGCACATGTCCTAAACCTTACTGGGCATAACTTATTCAATTTTTATGAAAGAGTCAATAGAAAGAAAATTATGTGCCCAGTTTGAGAGCAAGGATGGCATTTCATTTATTATGGCCCCCTCAATACACTGCCTTTAATAATAGAGACATAAATATAGTAAGGCGTGCTATGGACCTAAGGGTTTGTCCTATAACTCACAAGTAAAGGTCCTTCATTCTTGGTTTTCCTCAGTTTCACTGTTCATTATATTACCATTTCCACCAGAAAGTGGAACACGGAGGAGAAATGAAAGCTAATGAACGTTCCATGTGAGTTTGACTGCCGAAGCAACATCAAAACAGCTGGCTGCAATTAGGCGAGCAGCATTCTCATGCACACTGTCCCTGCCCTGCTTCTGCAAATCTCGGTATGCCCCGCTGTGTCGGCTCTTATAAAGTTTCGAGATACTGATAGGAGAACATTTTATTTGAAAATCAATAAGAATCATGATGTGGTTTTGAAAGTGCTTCTGCAGGTGCGAAGAATAGTGGGGGATTATTTGAACTCTGCCAAGTTATTATTTTTCTTGGAAACTGGAAACAGAAGACACCTCTTCCCAGCATAGGCATGGAAACAACGTTAATGTTCCCATAACACCCTTTTACAGCCTGTTTTACTCTTTATGGGGTTGTACTTAATTGCTTGACAACTGGTTCTTTTGTGACTGAAGACTCCTTAAGAGTCCGCCTTTCCTTTAGGTAACCTTGCCTTCCCAGCACAGAAGACACTGTGGATAAGTGAAAGAATCAATTAAAGATCATTGGGGTCGACCTAAGGGTTAACCAAGTGTCCATTTCAAATTTTATATGTATGTGTGTTTGTGTACCATGAGCATGCTTGGTGGCTCTGGAGTCCAGAAGACGGTGTAGGATCCCCCTGGGACTGTTGTGAGCCACTATGTGGGTGCTGAGAATAGAATCCAGGTACTCAAGCTTTTAAGCATTGAGCCATTTCTTCAGCTCCCTCCCCCAGACTCCCTCTTAAATGTTACACCCATCAGAAGCAGGTCTGTGATGATGTAGTTGGGAGCAACCTGGGATCAAATATACTCATCCTAACTGCATCTCCATCCTCCACATGGGCTTTAAGTGGATCAAACTGTTCTTCAACTGCTTCGCACTGGCTGCCTTTTAAACTAACTGGGGGTTCCAGAACAATGCTGGAAAATAGGTTATCTTGCCAATGCAGGGAGCGTTAAGAGGCAAGCAATATTTAAGAAACTCTCCTTTCTTAAAATTAGACCAAATAACCAGCAATGTGTCATTCAATCATTGAAGATTTCTACTAAGGATTATTCCAATACTTGCATGCATTCTTGACGACATATGATTAGATATGGTGCCGAATTTTCAACTTGAGGTTTTAGAGAGTTTATTGTTTTGAAATCAAATATATTAAATGTTATGTATACAGTGTTCCACCCTGAGATTCCTTCTGAGCTCATGTGACATGGTAAAGGCAGGGTATCAGTGATCAGTTCATAAGTTAAGCCATTTTACAACATTGATTCTAGAAATTAAAGTGAGTAGAGCAATACAATATGTAGAAAAGACACAAGTAAGGCTGGAGAGATGGCTCAGTCATTGAAGGCTGGACTCACAACCAAAAATATAAGAAAAGACACAGGTACCTACCAGGCTAAGACTAGCCTTGAGAATCTCAAGATTTGTTTTTATTCTTTGAGAATAATCTCACTTCATCATCTAAATAATTGTACCAAATTCTTTATGATATGCACTGACTGACCACTCAATTCATTTCATAAAATAACTCAGGTTGGTATTAAAAACTAACACCAATGATCGGGAGTGGTGGTGCATGCCTTTAAAACCAGCACTTGGAAGCTAGAAACAGAAGGATCTCTGTGAGTACAAAGTCAACCTTGTCTACACAGTGAGTTCCAGGACAGTCAAGACTACGTAGAAAGATACTATTCCAAACAAAACAAAATTAAGGAACAAAATAATTACGTTCATATCTCCTTAGTTTAATCAATATAAAGCAGCTGTTTAGATTATAGCAATAAGCCTGATAACCCATTGACCATTATAAAGCATATTACACTTTGGCACGGAAGAAGCAGTTTACCCAGGGATCAACATTTTGTTTGTGGTAGATTTGAGCAAAATTCCTTTCAGCAGGAAGGACATCAGAAGACAATGGTTTACAAACATTTTTGTTTTTACTGATCTGCAGTAAGGATCCTTAGAAACAAAGTATCCAAATAATTCCATCATCCTAAGGAATCTGGAGAACCATGCTGTTCTCAGACCAGGAAACAGAAGTACTTTTTGCCAGTTTGGGAAGGCAGACAAGGAAATGGCAGGTGTCAACATAAAAAACAGACACTTGGCTAACAGGCCCAGGAAGTTCAACTGACGTGAATTTTACAAAAAGTCTTCCTTCTGTTTACAAATTTAAAGGTCCGCTAGTGGTCCCTCTGGCTGCTCTCTGAATGTCTTCCTCTGTACTGGACTTCAGGCATCACACTTTAGCAGGAACTAAACGTCAAAAGCACAATGCCTGTCTTCCTCCTCCCCACAACTGGTGACAAGCTCCTAGAGTTACCACCTGTCACCGAGCACTAACCAAATTAGCAGACCGTGTGTGCTGATTACCTGATTTTCATTAGACTCAAACTAATTTTTCAAAATAATAGGCATATAAACAGAGAAAAGGTCTGGCTTAGATAGCTTCTAAATGTATTTTTGTTCTCTGCCCAAAATATCTTAAAAATAGGTTTTCTTCATTCTATTTTCCTTAGGACACATTTTTCAGTCAGCAAAAATAAGCATCAAAAATATACACTATGCTTGCTTAATGTGAGTAATATAAAACGCCAAACTAAAAGAGAAAAATTTTAAATTCAATCATTTTTAAAATTGTGGCTACAGTGCTTATTTAGCAAAAATATTTTTATCTGGCTACTTAGCATCATTTAATATGCAACATTAAATAATCATTGCAGTATGTCATCAAATATAATTAGCAAAAGTATTTTTATCTGAATACTTAGCTTTGCATATATGCAATAATAAATATTCATTGCAGCAAGCTATCAAATATAAGTTTTCCTTTAGTTTTAATAAATTTATATGATTTCTATTTAGTAATAGAATGGTGTTTTCTATTTTCTTTTTCTTCTTATTAAATGTTAAAGAGCACAATTATCACTTAAACATCCACAGTAACATATTTTCCAATATTTTAATGATAAACAGTTTAAATTCCTTGTCATTTGCTCCTCTCCCCTGAAGTTTCAACAATCATGTAACAGTTCTTTAAAGGGCTCTCAGAGTGGTGTTTTGCCTGGTTCTAGATGCTCACAAATGCACAAGTAAGTGCTTGTATTTGTACCAATCTGGTTTTTATTGTATACCGAAAACACTGAAATTACAATTATTTTTCAAAAATCACCAGTAAATTATTTGCATCAACTTGTGATCCAATGAATTCAATCACTTAAAAATAAATAGGTGTCATTTTCCTTAGTAAATAGTTCCAGAATGTAAAAACAGGCATACAGCTATTCCAAAGGAAAGAAACAGTTTCAAAGAATAACTCATGTAATGGTATTACCTTCAGTCCTGTGCCTGGAATCTAAATACAGATTTTAAATGTTTTTCATTTTCAGTTTGTAACCATAACTAAGTCCTAAGGCCCTGTGCTGGATAACGGTCAACTAAAATTGGGATCTCGTTTTACTTGAAGGTATTTTAGACACTGAATTTCATTCAGCTCACGCAGCATACACCCAAAAAGAAGTTGTCTGTCACCATTAGCTGACAATTTGCTCTAAAGAAAGGAGAGTTCCGTTGCGATCTTTTACTTACCTTTTGGTGTCTTGAAAAATTCTGGCAGGACTAAAATGAGTGTGACCACAATTGCCACAAGTAACTTAAGGAAAGCGGTTTCTGTCATGGCTACTCACATGACACAAATGTGTTTCCATCCAGTAGCTTGATATTATGTTGCTTCCTGATTCAAGTTTCATCTCTGTTCTGTTCTACTTCAAGTTCCTGAGATTCACCTCACACTCACTTCCGTTTGGGTCCGACTTAAAAAAAAAAAAAAGGTACCCGGAACTGAGTGAGACTTCTTCATTTTGAGTCACTTTGCCTAATAAAGTCACCCTCTAACAAGCACTTTTGAGCTGTCTGCTAAACAAGGAAGACATGTAAATGTTCTTAAGAAGCAGGGGGGGGTCTGGTTTCATCCAGATTTGAAGCTATTTTCCATGTTTACCGGTGTGTGAGAATAAATGTAAACCTACAACATAATAACAAAAACTAAAAGGACGAATGTCAGTGGTGTCCAGGGTTATGAACCCCATTCGCTAGTTTACTTATTAAATGATAGTTGATCTCATTGAATGCCAGACGCTGTGTTGCAGTCTTGTGTTTGGAAGACAGTAAACACCACAAGAGATGTGCATAAACTAAACGTTTATGAAAATTTGGGGGTTCTGCTTTACTCTCGTCTCTGCAAGGACTAGAATGTAACTTATTATGTCTATAAGCACTGTGTTTACTATTACACAATCCACATTTCTATTCTTCTTGCTGAAGAATAAACTCTTTTGTTAGGATAATCCTGGAGAAAGAAAATAGTTGTTTTAGAGTGTAAATGGAGGATGTGCAAGGGAATGCCTTTACTTAGACAATGCACTTAGTCAGCATTTCCATTGTTATCCGCCTGGCCCATTAAAATAAAAATAAAAATGTATCAAATACTTCTAACCATTGTATCCCTGCTTGGTCCATACAGCCCCATAGCCGTTCATTTCTGCTTAGTCTATGCCTTGTTCTCACTTGCCCACTCCTAAATTGTGCAGAACAACTGTTTAGTAAGGACTACAATACAAAAGGTCATGCTGTGAAAATGCTCTATGCACCAACTGACTTGTTTTCTGACTGGATACCATGGGTGACGTATACATGGGGATCCTTGCTTAGGGGATTTTAAGACCTGAGCCTTAGAAAGAGGAATAGAATTTGCAAGCGTATACTTTATTTTAAGAACAGCATCGAGACTCGTTATGTCAACACTAGCTGGTAGGAGTGACATTTCCAGTTAAGTACCAACTAGATCCCTCGATACTCTTTAAGTACACATAGTCTTCAGCAATAGAGTCTTACTGCCGAGTTGTGGAGGATAACCAATAGCATTAGCAATAGCCTGTAATGTTTGTGGGGTCTATGGGATCCCTTTGGCCAATAACTTGAAAAGATATAATTCACTCCAGGTGCTGGGGTTTTACCTGGTAGCATATGATGTCTAGTTGAGGTATTGGTCCCCTGCCCCATGATATGTTAACTCCATTTAAACTTCTCTTACATGCATACACATCTTAGGAAGTTTCTACAGTAGTATGTTTCCATATGTTTTTCAAAAGGTCTTTACATTTAGTTGTCCTTGCCACATTCCCTCCTCCCTGCCCTCCCAGCCCTGCCTCAATGCTCCTCCTCTCTAGCTTCCCCCCTTATCTCTATGGTACTATATTCCACTTTTCCTTCCTTGGAAATGTTAATGTCTATTCCTTCCCTTCATTTTGTAATAGTGCCTTGGTTCACTCAGTAATCCTAATATTCATATAAAAATATTGATTGAGCTGGGCGTTGGTGGTGCACACCTTTAATCCCAGCACTCGGGAGGCAGAGGCAGGCAGATCTCTGTGAGTTCGAGGTCAGCCTGGTGTACAGAGTGAGTTCCAGGACAGGCTCCAAAGCAATACAGAGAAACCCTGTCTCGAAAAACCAAAATTAAATAAATAAATTAAAAATAAAATAAATATTGATTGGTTTTCTTTGTTGCAATATTTCTGCCAGGTCTGTATTAGGCACTTTCTGTTTCTCTGTCAAAATATCTGAGCAAAATGACTTAAGGGAAGAAAGACTGTCTGGGCTTTGAGACGCTTCCGTGCGTGGTTCTATGACTCCATTGCTGCTGGGTCTATGCATGGCGAGCAAAACATGGTGGAAACCATGGTAGAGCAAAGCAGCTCACCTCCTGGTGGGCAGGATGTGTAGGAAGAAGGGACTGAACAGGAATGGAACCATTAAGAGCATCCCCCAGAAATCTGCTTCCTACTAGAGCACACGTAATAATCCATGCCGTAAGAACTCCATGGATTAATCTATTGATTAAATCAAAGCTTATGTGGTCCATTCATTTATCATAAACCTTTCAGCTGGCAGCCAAACCTTAAACATATGAGTCTTCATGAAACATTTTTAGAATCTGAATCAAGCCATTCAGACATAATGCATAATGACATCCCCATGCATGTGTGCACATGTGTGTGTGCACACACACACACACCACTACTGCTACTGCTGCCACCACCACGACCCTCCTCCCTACCATTCATATTCAATCTGGTTATCATATTTTTAGACACTTTAAAGTCAATTTTCTTGAAAGGTCCTTTGTCCTGGCTGCAATCTTGTGCTCTGCACCTGGCTTCTCTGGTGGTGTCCAGATGTGGCTATCAGGAGAGCAACAGAAGGACCATAAATCCCAGACCACAGGCTCTGAGGACACAGGGGAGCAGAATCTTTCAACCAGACTGTAAGATGTTTGTGTCATCTCTGACTTAGCAAATCTTAAGAAAACTAATGTCATTGTCTATGGTCATTCTCTTAGATTGCTAATCCAATTGTAACTTTTTATGTTTACTGATTTGTGTGTGTGTGTGTGTGTGTGTGTGTGTGTGTGTGTGTGTGTGTGTGTAAGAGAGAGAATGAGCATGTGTGTCAGTGCCTTGGCAGGCCTGTGGAGACACACAAGGACAACTTTAGGGAATCTGTTCTCTCCTTACCAAGTGTGGGTCTTGGGGATCAAGCTCAGGCCATCATGTTTGATGGTTTAAGAAATATTAAACATGAGTTGTTTCCAACAAATACTGTAAAACGTGCGTTTAGGACAAGGAATTCAAATCTTTTATCTCCTCCACATTGACTTCTATGTCAATGTTTTCATCTCCTCCACCAGGAAAACCTTTGTTTTAGAAAGGCTCCTGATGCATTCCAGGAATTTGAAGGTTTGGAGCAGAGAGCCTTTTCTCCTTGGAGAAATGACACCTTTTCCCCTTCTTTCATTTCCTGTGAACCAGCTCTTCGGACTAGTCAATCAGATATGATTGCAAGGTCAGACGCCTGCCAATGGGAAGAGACATAGTCACACCTGAGTTAGAATAAAAACCAAGCACACTTTCTGTCATTGTGTGACTCATCTTCTCTTCTGACCACACCCTGTTGATCAAGAGAAAGGTTTGCCTTGCTTAGACACTTCAGTTGGAGTGGTGGGCTCTTTCTTGGCATGCTCAGTTGCTATATTTTAGATCACGCTGTCTATAGTTGCTAACTGCTTGAAGTGTTCGCAGAACAATAGCCAAAAGCAAATTCCAGACATCTAGTGGGTGTTCGTATGTTAGAAACAAAGAAAATCTCAGTGTGACACAAGGAACAACACATGAACAAAAGTAACTTGTCAAGTGTCTTGGTCACTTCTTTACTGCTGTGAGGAGACACCATGGCCAAGGCAACTCTTACAAAATAAAACATTTAATTGGGGGCTTGCTTACAGTTTCAGAGGCTTAGTCTACTATCATGGTGGGGAACATGGTGACAGGTACCCATGGTGCTACAACTGTAGAGGAGAGCTACGTCCTGATCTGCAAACAAAGAGAGAGAAAAACTGGACCTAGCATGGTCTTTTGAAACCACAAAGCCCACCCACAGTGGCACACTTCCTCCAGCAAGGCCACGCCTACCTCAACAAAACCACACCCACGAATCCTTGTAATCACTCCCTGGAGACCAAGCATTGAAATACATGAGCCTATGGGGGCCATTCTCATTGAAACCACCACAGCAAGGCAATTTCTTTTTGTAAAAAAGCTGTGGCAAGACATAAAAAGAGATAGCTATCATAGCAGAGCAAGAAGTTCACTTGGTTTTCATTCTAATGCAGGTGGTGACTATGCCCCACCCACACTGCTGGAATTGCCTGGGGTTCAACCTCACAATCTTTTACAATTGACAGACTTTAAAAGAATCATTGCAGAGAGCTGGAGAGATGGCTCAGCAGTTAAGATCACTGACTTTTCTAGCAGAAGACCTGGGTTCAGTTCCCAGCATCCAAATGACAACTCACAAATATCTTAAGTTCCTCTTCTGGCCTTCTCAGGTATCAGGCACAAATGTGATATGCAAACATACACACAGGCAAAACACCTACACACATAAAATAATGAAAGAATAATGATTTAAAAAAGAAAAAAAATGGTGCAATGGAAGAAAAGGGGGGAGAAGTTAGCCACTTTAATCTATCAAGTTCTGGGAATGTACCCTAGTCTTTGTGTAAACAATGTTTTACCAGGTGATAGAGAGTAAAAGATTTGCATAAAAGTTTTACAAGGTGGAGGAAATTTATGGAATATTGGCCCTTGGCAGACTAGCTACTTTTGACCAAAATACACACACACACACACACACACACACACACACACACACACACACACACATTTTTTTCCTTACGGTTATCTTTCAGAGGTTCAATGGCAAGGGTTAAAAACAATGGGTCAAAATGTCTTGCTTCTTCTGGCTTCCATAATTCATCCAATAAAATGTTTCACAACTAAAATTCCTAAATATATAAAGTATATCATTATACATTTGCATTTAATACCAGAAATCCCTAAAATTTAAGAATTAAGCTAGAATTTCTTATAATTAATTCAATTTTAAGTGAGAGGGCTTCAGAAGCAAGCAAGTCATGCTCAACTTTGAATCTATTCAACATTTTAAAGATAAAACTGAAGCAATAAGCCAAAGGTGGTTGTTACATGCCTGCAACCAAAATAATTGAGAGGTAGAGGCAAGAGTTCATGATCTTCCTCAGCCACTTAGTTGCCCTTGAACCCCAAATAAACACAGAGAGACATACATTAATTATGAAATTGTTGGCTGATAACTAGGGATTCTTATTGGCTAGCTCTGTCTTAATTACTAACACA